CTTGAGCTTAGCTTGGGCCTGGTGAGGGATGTGCTCAATCTCCACAGCCGTTATGAGGATCTCAAACCCTCCTTCAAGGCCTCTGAATTTTGCAAGGCCACTCATGAGGCCAACTTGGCCAATTATGCAAAGCAGAAGGCAGAATGGACCAAATGGTTGCAGGGTATAAGGAGGCCAAGACTGCTGCTGACAAGTTGGAGAAACAAATTGAAGAACTTCAAACACAGCTGGCTGGGCTGAGGGAGAGGCAAAACAAACTTGGGGCCGGACTGGGTACCAAGACCAAGGCCAACTTCCTTGTTCAGAACATGGTTGCAGCTTCCAGGCTAGCATTGGAGATTGCAGAGGCCTCTCTTCATCAAGGGATGCTTCTCCAGCAATAGATTTCTACCAAGGAGACCGGATTGCAAGAAACCATTAGGAAACTAGGGTTGTAATTTTTAAATGCTTGAATGTAATAAAACTTAGTCATAAAAAATGACTATATTTAATAAGACTATTTATTTTTGTGGAAACTTTCTTCATTTTCAATTTTGTCTGACAAAAATAAAAGAAAGCAGAAAAATAAAACATACTTAACAAATTACATCAAAATTACAACTCTGATCAGAAATTTAAACAACGGTTCCATTTTGTTCCCTTTCTATTCCAGGATCTGTTCGTACAGCCTGTGAATCCCATATAGTTGGATATAATTTCTTCAACCATTTGCCATTGATTGGTGCAACATGGATGTCTCCATCTCGATCCTGTAGTCTGTATGCCCCCAATCCAAGGATTTGCTTAATTATGAAAGGACCTTCCCATGTAGGTGACCACTTTCCATAACCAGCTATGTGTGTTCCAAGAGGCAGAACTGCTTTCCAGACTATTTCCCCTTCTTCAAAGCTCTTGTTTTTAACTCTTTTGTTGTAGGCCCTTGATAGAACCTGTTTTCTTGCTAAGAGTTTGTTGATGGTGTCAATTCTACTTGCATCCAATCCTTCCAGTTCTAGCAGCATTGCTTGAAAGTAGTCTTCTCCAATCAGATTGAATTGCTGAGCAATTCTGAGAGATTGGACTGCTATTTCCATAGGCAGAATTGCATCATGACCATAAGTTAGAGCATATGGGGTCATGCCAATTGCCTCTCTCTTTGAAGTCATATATGCCCACATAGTTTATGATAATTTCTCATGTCATTGCTTTGGATTTTTCTCAAACATTTTCCTGATAATGTTGATGATCACTTTGTTACTTGATTATGCATGTCCATTAACTTGAGCATAATAAGGAGTGGATTGAAGTAGCTTGAATTTGAATGCTTCTGCCATATCTAGCATATCTCCAGATATGAAAGAAGATCCCCTGTCAGTTGTGATTGATTCTGGAATGCCAAACCTTTGTATAATCTGCTCTTCTATGAAGGTGATGATCTCTTGAGATGTGGTGGATTTAACAGGTTTGGCATCTACCCATTTGGTGAAATAGTCTGTAGCTACAATGATAAAACAGTGTTGTTTGCTACTGGCTGGATAAATCTTGGCAATGAGATCCATTGCCCATCCTTTGAATCGCCATGGCTTGACTACTGGATTCATGGGAACTGAAGGAGCTTGTTGGATTGGACCATGCATTTGATAAGCCCCACATCCCTTGGAATACTCAATGCAATCCTACATCATGGTTGGCCAGAAGTAGCCATACATTTTAATTAACCAACATATTTTTCTTCCACATTGATGAGCTCCACAGATTCCTTCATGGGTTTCTCCCATGACCTTCATGTACTTTTTTTGTCCTAGGCACCTCAAAAGTAACTCATCTTTGTTTTTTGGGACTAAATCTCCATTCCACATTAGGTAGTTTAAAGCCATAATTCTAATTCTTTTTTTAGAAGGCAGAGTTGGATATTGCAAGTAATTTATGATGGGAGTTCTCCAGTCATCTTCAGTGATTATGGCAGAATTGACATCTATCTCCATTCCTCTGGTCAGAATAGATGGTAGACTTTTCTTTCATACCTTGATGATTCTTTGCACACAGTCTTCAAGTATTTGTACCCCTGTTGCTATCTGAGCCATTTCATTGGCTGCAAAATTTTCTTCTCTTGGGATATGTTCCCAAGTAGCTTCCCTGAATTCTGTCAGAAGATTTCTGGCTGCCACTAGATAGACAGCTAGAGAAGGATTTAGACACTTGTATTCTCCAGCAATCTGTTTCAACACAAACATAGAATCTCCCAAAATTTCCATAGATTGGATTTCTAATTCTACCAGCATTTCGAGGCCAATGATTAAAGCTTCATATCCAGCCCTGTTGTTAGTGCATTGGAAATCTAACTGGAAAGAATAACAGTGCCTGATCCCCAGTGGCTCCTCCAAAATAATTCCTGCCCCAGAGGCTATATCAGTCTTTGATCCATCAAAGTACAGTTTCCAAGGTGTGAGGTGAACTGAATAGATGGGATTGTTAAGGCAAGTATGAGCTCTAGTCAACAGATCTGGTGGATTTGAGAGGTAGTGTTTGATTTCCACAAAAGCTTGCTCGTGCTGCTCCTCCCACTTAAACGTCTGTTCCTGATTCAACCTTAACAAGTAGGAGAAATGCTGGATTTTTCCTGCAGAATTGGATATGAATCTTTTTAGAAAGTTGATCTTTCCTAGGAGACTCTGCAATTCTTTCTTGTTTTGAGGTGGTAGAGCTTCTATGATGGATTGTGCCTTATTTTTATCAATCTCTATGCCTCTTTGGTGGATCAAGAAACCTAAGAAATTTCTTGCTTGAACTCCAAAAACACACTTCTTGGGATTCATTTTCAACTTATGTTGTCTCATTCTTAGGAATGCCCTTTTCAGATTTGATATATGATCTCTTTCTTCTAAGGATTTAATCACCATATCATCTATATACACTTCTAAAAAATGACCTATCATGTCATGGAAAATAAAATTCATTGCTCTTTGATAAGTGGCACCTGCATTTCTTAAGCCAAAAGGCATTATAGTGTATTCAAAAGCACCTATATGTCCTGGACACATGAAGGCTATCTTATGGATGTCTTCTTCTGCCACCATAATCTGATTATATCCTGCATTGTCATCCATAAAAGATAGCATTTGGTTATGAGTATCTCTATCTACTAGCATATCTGCCATTGACATAGGATATTCATATTTGGGAGATGCTTCATTCAGATTCTTATAATCCACACAGATCCTAACTGCCCCTATTTTTCTTTTCAGAACTAGCACAATATTGGCTAGCAAATCAGCATAAATGGTTGGTCTAATGAATCTTGCTTTGACCAGTCTTTCTGTCTCTTCTTTGACTTTCAGTCCTTTTCCTTAGACATTCTTCTTCTGGCTTGTTTGACTGTAAGGTAGCCTTCTTTGATTGGCAACTTGTGTTCTACCAATTTTCTATCCAGCCCAGGCATCTCATGGTAATGCTAAGCAAAATCGTCTCTAAAATCATGCAAAAGTGCAATGATTTCTCTCTTGAGTGGTTCTTTCAACAATGCACTAATGAAAGTGGATCTTGGATCCTCTTCTGTCCCTAAGTTTATCTCCTGTAATGGATCTTCCACTTCTGGTAAAGAGTCATCTAGTGCTGCTGGTGCAAAATCTAGTACTTCCTCATGTAAACTCTCTTCCTATTCTTCAATGCTCTCATGGGTGAATTCTGCCATTTTGATGGCTGGATTCTGCATAAAGAGCTTCCTTTCTTCCCAATATATCAACAATCTTTTTGTAATGGATCGGATTATTGCAGCTCGATCCTTTTCTTGTTAATTGGGACTAAACATCAAAGTTCTGGAGGTTCATAACAAAAGGTCTACTCCAGTCCTCTAGAGAACTGGCCAGGCCATCTTTAATGAGTTCCAACTATGACGTCTACATCTAGGATTCCATGAGTCTTAGTGATGCCCCCAGCAAAGTTGGTGACCGTCAAACGTGTTGGAATTAGATCATTCTCTGTTCTGCTTATCTTGTTCAGCAATCTGTGAGGCAGAAGATTAATGGCTGCACCTCCATCTACCATAACTTTGGGAATAGGAACACCCCCCAAAATTTGATGTTATGAATAGAGGTCTGAGGTGATTGGCCATCTCTTTGGTTGGTTTGGAAAAAACAAAGCTATTCTGCGACTACTTTCATGGCAGTTCTACCTGCTTTGGAGTAGGTGTCTGCTGTTCTGGCGCCCCTTCTACTTTTACCAATCTACATTCAAAACTTTCTTGGGAGAGCACGTCTCCCTCTAGAGTGTTTTCTTGTCCTTTTGCTACCCTGAACTTTTCTGGCATGATAAATACCATATTAATGCCTAGATCACCCTGTAACAGGCTTTCTAATTCTGCACCGAAAGCCTCAGGTTCTTCGTCCAGTTCTCCATCATACTCCTCTGTTCTTCCGCATATTTTTCTGTCCAGTCATCTAGTTGTCTGCAGATGGTTTATAGTCCAACTGCTCCTCTTCATTTTCTTTAGTCCGATCTTCTTGTTCTTCTACTGGAATAGGTCCAGATTCACCTTGTGATTGTGACAGTTCAAGCTGATTGATTGAGGATGAGGCAGGATGGATGGAAGGTCTACCTGGAGATTCTGTCTTTGTCAACTCTTATGGCTGACATGTTGTTTGTTCTGCCTGAGGAGTTGCCTCTGGATTTTTCCCTCTTCTGGTAGAACTGGTCTCTGGAAGTACCTGTGTGTCATCCCTGTTCTTGAGGAAGGTGCAGTATTGCCTTTGGACTCTTCTTTTTTGTGTTCTGGTTAGTTCCAGAGTTGGTCTACTGCTTTTTCCAACAGAATACCAACTACCTTCTATGATAGTTGCCAGGCATCTTAATTGGTATCTCCTTCTGTGGCTGCTCTGTGATTCTTTTGTTGTGTTGGGCAGGCCTTAGATAGTCCTTCTATTTGGCTCTGTCTTTAGGTGGAGCTGGAACTGGGCCCTATTGGTATGATGTTCCAATCCGGTCAAAAACGCTAGGTGCAGGCTGATTTTGCCTATCTAGAGTTACCTCCAACTCACTTTCACACTTGCACTTTGTTAGGATTTTGGCTCGTCAAATATGTCCTAGTTGGTTTAGGATTGTTTTAGGAAAATTAGAGGTATACCAATTCTTGTCCTGGAGGGATTAGGAAAGAATTTCAGTTTTCCTTATTCAAATCAGGTTTGGATTTCTAGAAGTCTATTAGGATTTGGATAAATGTAATTTCCTAATCCACTTAGGAATAGGAATCCAATCAGCCTTGGGACATGTAAGCCAACTCTATATCTATAAATAGGGTGTGGCAAGGCTTATTTT